AACAACCTGCCTCCAGAAGCGGTGAATGCTCCAACACTGGAAGTTTTTAAGAAGAGACTGGACAGCCATTTGTCCGAAATGGTATAGGGTTTCCTGCCTGAGCAGGGGGTTGGACTAGATGACCTTCAAGGTCCCTTCCAACTTTACTATTATTATTATTATTATTATTATTATTATTATTATTATTATTATTATTAATCGTCTATTCTTTACATTTTCCCCCCTTATTCTTCTTTAGATATATTTGTCCTTGTTGCCCCGTTGTTTCTTATTTGCATTTTTCTTCCTTCATACTATACTTCATACTAAGAATGATACATATTATTATTACTATACATTATTATACACACATTTTCCACTTTTAACCTTTCCACATTTATTCTCCTCTATTATTTCTAGTCTCCAACCAGTCATACTACTTGTTCCATATTAGATAGTACTCTGTGTCTTCCTTTTCTTTTATCTCTTTTGTTAATTTATCCCTTCGGATGTCATTTAAAAGTGTTTGCTGGTTGAAGAAATGGTAAGCAAATGCAAGTTGGCATTAATGACAGATTCCTGAGCAGCAATTCTCTAAAGTTTTGTTTTAGCAATTAAACTTGAAAAGAGACTTTTCAAAACGATGGGCAGGGTGAAGAAGTGCAGAAGGGATCTGTAGCCAAACCTCATTTTGCTTGCCGTGACTCATTTTTGCTGAAACAACATTATAAGGAAAAAGAAAAGCATATGCCAAGTTAATGCACCATTTATAGCATAGGGGTTAAGTGGGGGATTACAGGTAGTCCTTAACTTATGTCCACAATTGAGCCCAAAATTTATGTTGCTAAGCGAGAGAGTTATTAACTGAGTTTTGCCCTATTTTACGCCCTTTCTTGCCACAGTTGTTAAGTGAATCACTGCAGTTGTTAAGCTGGAAACACGGTTGTTAAGTGAGCCTGGCTTCCCCCATTGACTTTGCTTGCCAGACGGTCGCAAAAGGGGATCACATGTCCCTGGGACATTGCAACCGTCATAAATATGAGTCAATTGCCAAGTGTCTGATTTTTGATCATGTGACCATCATGTGACCATACTGCAACAGTCGCAGGGGTGGAAAACGGCCTTAGATCACTTTTTTTCAATGCCATTGTCATTTTGAATGGCCACTAAATGAATTTGTTGTAAGTTGAGGACTACCTGTATATATGTTCTCCAGCTTTGTCTTCCCTGGTTTAAGAGGGTGTATCTCGGTCTTTGTCATTATATGTGTTTCCCAAATAAATGTAGGAGTTTTTTCTTTCATGCCTGCTCTTTCTTTTATTCCCTCATCCACCTTTCCTTTTTTCTGTTAATAAAGGACCTAAAAACTCTGCTTTTCGGCTCCAGTCTTGGATGCTTCAACGAAGAATGGAAAATCCAGAGTTTTACGTTCAGCGAAAATCCGCAGTTGAAATACGGCATTGTGCAAAAAAAGGTAACCATCGGCCCCCCAAAATCACTGGCTGACTAGAGTTGGTAAACTTCACCTGCAAGGAACTTTCCATTGTCCCAAGGTGCTTTTTTGAAATGGCAATCTGGACTCTGTTTTCCTTTGAAGGCGTTTTGCTTCTCATCCAAGAAGCTTCTTCAGTTCTGACTGAACGGTGGAGGAGGGAAAGACTTATATTCCTTACAGTCGTCTGGTCATTAGTTCTCTTTCTGAGAGTTGATGATGCCACTTCCATCCTCCACCATTCAGTCAGAGCTGAAGAAGCTTCTTACACGAGAAGGGAAACTTCAAGCAAAAACAAAGTCCAGTTGCTTCTTGAAAAAGCACCTTTGGGACAACCATGACCTGGATGATGGAGAGTCTCCATAGACACTTTCCATTGTCTAGGCCGGGGGTAGGCCACCTTGGCTCTTTTATGACTGGTGAACTTCAACTCCCAGAATTCCTGAGCCAGCATGGCTCAGCTTGGAAACCTCTCCCTTTCCCCTCAGCATGGCTGGCTCAGGAATTCTGGGAGTTGAAGTCCATCAGTCATAAAAGAGCCAAGGTGGCCTACCCCTGCCCTAATCCAATTTATTCCCAAGAGAAAAAATATATAGAAAGAATTCATCCCTGATTCTCCGTCCTCCTCAGCTGTTAATAAAGGGTATTCCTCCCCTTGAAAAACGATTTTAAAAATCCTCCCTCCTGTGAGACATATAGAGAAAGCTTCCATTCCGTATCTCGGCCTATCATTTGGTAGCAAATTCCTGATACAGGTAAGTCTTCAATTTATAACAGTTCATTTGGTGAGTGTTCGAAGTTACGGTACTGGGAAAACTAACCTATGGCTGTTTTTCACACTTAACGACCGCTGCAGCATCACGTGATTAAAATTCAGATGCGTGGCAACTGGCTCCTATTTACGGCAGTCGCAGCGTCCCGGGGGTCACGTGATCCCCTTTTGCGACCTCCTGACAAGCAAAGCCAATGGAGAAAGCCAGATTCGCTTAACAACCCCGTGTTACTAATTCAGCAACAGCACTGATTCTCTTAACAACTCTGGCGAGAAAGCTCATAAAGTGGGGCAGGACTCATTTAACAACTGCCTTGCTTAACGAACGTAAAAATTGGGCTCCGTTGTGATTGTAAGTCAAGCTCTAGCTGTACATTTATTTTTTTCATTCGAAAGCATTTCCTATGGATCAATAATGCCCTGAAGGGGGGTGGGGGTGGAGGAAAGCTTTTAAACCCCCCTCCCTCCTCCCCCCAACCCAAATTCTAGGTGGGAGGAAAGCTTTCAGCCCCCCCCTCCTCCCCCCAACCCAAATTCTAAGTGAATTGCCAGAGTTGTACGTGTCCAACTTGAGCCCTTTTAACAGGACTTTAAAATCATCCTCCGTGGCTGTTTCTCTCCCCCTTAACATTTTAACCATCAGAAAACCCAGATGCTTTCGATTTTGCTGGTCAGAACAAAGCCGCCACGTACCTAACCTGGCTTGGCCTTGTTAGGAAAACATCCAGGGACCTGAAGTTTTAATTAAGAACCTGGCAGCGGCAGATCTCATTGTGTCCGAGAGCGGCCAAGGACAGCAGCGGTGGGGAGAGGCCATCAGGCAGGTGAAAGAGATCCAGGCTGCAAAAGACTTTCACACGTGTTCATTTCCTCCCTTCTTTCCTGGCCTCTTCCAGGGTGGGCCGTGCGGGGTCCTGGCAGCCGTTCAAGCCCACGTCCTCCAACATCTTATCTTTGGGGACAGTAGCCGGAACAACACGGTTAGGTAAGTCCACGTTCCCCGAGGGCCCCGCAGGTTTTTTTCCCATTCCCGTTCAAGGAAATTCCCCCTCTATTGTTGTGGGGGAAATGGGGGTGGTCCTAGTGTTGACCTCCGTGGTGGAGTTGAAAAGTGTAAGCCGTGGAAATCATGCAGGTTTCAGTTCAGGTCAGAATAGAGCCTGGAAGGGACCTCAGAGGTCTTCTAGTCCAGCCCCCTGCTCAAGCAAGAGATCCTATACCATTTCAGACAAGTGGCCGTCCAGTCTCTTCTTTAAAATCCTCCAGTGATGGAGCACCCACCACTTCTGAAGGCAAGCTGCTTCCACTGGTTAATTGTCCTCACTGTTAGGAAGTTTCTCCTTAATTCCAGGTTGCTTCTCTTCTTGCCTTCTGGTGCTTCTTCTTCTTCTTCTTCTTCTTCTTCTTCTTCTTCTTCTTCTTCTTCTTCTTCTTCTTCTTCTTCTTCTTCTTCTTCTTCTTCTTCTTCTTCTTCTTCTTCTTCTTCTTCTTCTTCTTCTTCTTCTTCTTCTTCTTCTTCTTCTTCTTCTTCTTCTTCTTCTTCTTCTTCTTCTTCTTCTTATTATTATTATTATTATTATTATTATTATTATATTGGAAGACTGCTATCATATCACCCCTAGTCCTTCTTTTCTCTAGACTAGTTATACCTAGTTCCAGCAAATGTTCTTCATTTGTTTTAGTCTCCACACCTTTAGTCATCTTAGTTGCTCTTTGCATTTTTCTTTTTTGTAATGTGGTGACCAAAACTGGATGCAGCATTCCAGGTGTGGCCTTACTAAAGTTTTATAAATCGGTACTACTACTTCACGTGATTTTGATTCTGTGCCTCTGTCTAAACAACCAGGGGTTGTATTAGCCAAGGATGACAGAGGAGGGAATTATGCAGCTGAAATCTTGTTCTCTGTTTGTGTTTTGCAAAAGGCAGGTGATCACAGAGCTGGGATGAATGCAAACGAGAACTTCCAAGTGGAAGGAACTTCAGGGGGTGTATAATGTGTGAATGGGGGTGCAGTGCACCCCAGCATCTCAGACAACATCTGTCTTGGTCTGTCTTGGTGACACCCCACTGATACACCCTACTGATACCCCACTGATACACCTTAACCCTAACTCTAACCTTTAACCTTATAAATATATAACACTGACCCTATTAAACCTAACTCACTAGCCCCTTACCTTAACCCAGACATATCAAACACAAGGCCTGGGGGCCAGATGTGGCCCAAGAAGTGATTTCATGTGGCCTGTGAAGCCATCCTGGAAACAGTGAGGGAACGGCCCCTGCTGCCTTGGCCCTGGCCCAGGCCGGCCGGCAGCCAATGTACAATTTTGTGGTGGCCATCTATGCTGAAATGCATTCAGCCTTAGCTCCATAAGCCCCCCCCCCCCATGGCCTGAGAGGAACAGTGAGGCTCCTCCAGTGGACCATGCCTTGGCACTTGCCCTGGTCCCACCCCCTTCTGCCAGAGACCCTCAGATCTGCCCCACTCCTGCCCAGGCCCCCACAGACACCCTTGATGTGAACGATGTAGAGCTGGCCACACCCACCCAGTAGGCCACACCCACTCCCTCCATGCCCACCCAGTAGGCTGCACCCACCCTGGCCACACCCACCCGGCCCCCTGAGGGCAACCGCAATGCTGATGCGGCCCTCAATGAAATTGAGATTGACACCCCTGCCTTAACTCTAACCCTTAAACTTAACCTCTTAACCCTCCTAATCTTAACCATTAACTCTAGCTCTAACACCTTCCTCTCTAACCCTAATCCCTAAACATTAACCATAATCTGTAATCTTAGTCCCAATCCTAACTCTAATACCTAACTCTCAGCACCATATCCCCTAACTCTAACCCTTAATCTTAATCTTCTAACCCTCTTTAACCCTAACCCTTAATCCTAGCTCTAATGCTCTAGCCTCTAACCCTAGTCCCTAAGCATTAACCATAACCATACCTTAACCCTAATCCCAATCCCTAACACCTAATACCTAGCAGCACAACTCTAATCCCTAACCCAGGGGTGTCAAAGTCGCAACATCATGTGTCGTGTCGTGACGTATTGCGACTTTTCCCCCATTGCCGGAGCTGGGGTGGGTGCAGTTTCGGCATGATGCATCCGGCCTGCGGACCGGCAGTTTGACACCCCTCCCCTAACCCTAACCCTAATCTGAGCCCTAATCCTCTAACCCTCAGCCTTATGTGCATCGACATTGTATATTTCCTCTTAGGCCAGGGGTAGGCCACCTTGGCTCGTGGACTTCAACTCCCAGAATTCCTGAGCCAGCCATGCTGAGGAGAAAGGGAGAGGTTTCCAAGCTGAGCCATGCTGGCTCAGGAATTCTGGGAGTTGAAGTCCACGAGTCATAAAAGAGCCAAGGTGGCCTATCCCTGGCCTAGGCAGTGAAACCAATCACTTGCTCAGTGCAACAATGTGGGACACCAGTAGACAACTCTCAGAATTCATTAACTGAAGGATTCTGGGAGTTGAAGTTTCCACTCAAAGGGTGGGCAGTGCTGCCTCAGACCAAAGGAGGGGGCTACTGTTAGGACTGAAGAACCAAGAATGACATGCAGGTTTAATGTCGTTCACCTACAGACAGAATCTTGCCAGGTTAGCTGCATAAGTATAGAGATATTCTGTGGAGCTCTAGGGAGGGTCTGACTTTGCCCTCTTCCTGTCCACAAGATATTCCAATATCTGCTGTCTCTTAGCCCTCTGGGAAGGAGCCTCTACGGACTATATTCCATCACATCTGGCAGGCTTTCGCAAGGAATACCGAGGCCCCCAAAAGATGGAGGTGCCCTCATGTGGAACATAGAATTGAGTTGGGCATTAGACTTATTGATCTTCCCAATTCCCATGACACCAGGCAAGTTTGCAAAGGGAGAGTCCAGCAGTCAGAAAGAAAAGCTTTGTGCATCAACATTGGTCTTCAGATCTCAACTTGATGGTCTCCTGGGCTATGGGTGGTGAGAGTTTGGGTATCTCTGACTACAATTCCCAGCAGCCCTGGCCATCAAGGCCTACGGCCTGAGATGCAATATAGAAATCAGCAAAAGGGTCTTTTGGCCACCTACCACCATCCTAGGCTGTACATTTCCCTTGCCACTTATGTCTCCCTTTAGAAGAGAATCTTTATAGCTCAGGGTTGAACTGTGGGACCCTCGGTGCTCTTGGCTGAGCTTGGTTGTTTTCCTGCAGACATTTCATGACCCAACTAGGGAACAGCATCACTGCTAGAAGGGAGTGGAGTTTGCATAGTGGAGGACAAAGTGGGGGAGGGGGAGGAAGAGGTCTGTGGGGTCCTTGATGCTCTCTGAGATTGGCGGTTTTCTTGTAGACGTTTCCTGACCCAGCTAGATAACATCATCAGTGGTGGAAGGGAAGAGGAGGAGGAGGAGGAGGAGGAGGAGGAGGAGGAGGAGGAGGATGATGATGATGATGATGATGATGATGATTGTGGAGTCCTTGGTTCTCTCTGAGATTGGCGGTTTTCTTGCAGACGTTTCCTGACCCAGCTAGATAACATCATCAGTGGTGGAAGGGAGGGGGGTTTGAAGAGGAGTAGGAGTAGGAGTAGGGATGATGATGATGATGATGATTATGGAGTCTTTGGTGCTCTCTGAGATAGATGGTTTTCTTGCAGACATTTCATGACACAGCTAGGTAATACTATCAATGGTAGAAAGGAATGGGGTTGGAGGAGGAGGAGGAGGATGACCATGGGGTCCTTGGTGCTCTCTGAGCTTGGTTCTTTCTTTGCGGACATTTCATGACCCAACTAGGTAACGTCATCAGTGCTAGAAGGGAGTGGGGTTTATTCTCTGTTTATATACCTTGGTTTGCCCTGTCAGTGTTGGTGGGAATATTCTTTTCTTCTTGGTAGTTTCTTGATTATGTTCTCTCTCTTTTTCTCTACAACCTGCAGGTGCCTTTGGCCGTCGGACGCCGAAAGGATCCAGTGTCTCGTTTTAGCTCTTGCCGGTATTTTATGGCGTGCAGGTGGCAATGATAAAGTGGTGGTGACTTTGTAAGTGAGAGGTACAATTTTGTTTTTTAAAAAAGAACACCCTATCCTTGTCCTGCTCTCCCTCCATCCCATCCAAACTCATTTTCACCTTCTTCGATGGGAGACCTTGGAATTGCAGAAGACCCCCAAAGTTGCAGGCTCTGCCTTCATTCACCAAGAAGCCCCACTGTACAGGTAGTCCTCGGCTTACGACCACAGTTGAGGCCCAAAATTTATGTTGCTAAGTGAGACATTTGTTAAGTGAGCTTTGCCCTGTTTTACGACTTTTCTGGCCACGTTTGTTAAGTGAATCGCTGCAGCTAGTAACACGGTTGTTAAGCGAATCTCATTTCCCCCATTGACTTTGCTGGTCAGAAGGTCACATGACCCTGGGACACTGCGACGGTCGTAAATATGAGCCAGTTGCCAAGCGTCCGAATTTTGATCACGTGACCAAGGGGATGCTGCAGCGGTCGTAAGTGTGAAAAAGGATCATAAGTCACTTTCTTCAGTGCCCATGTAAGTTTGAACGGTCACTAAACAAACCGTTGTAATTCGAAGACTATCCCATAATAACAACCAACGGAGGAATAATTATGAAACAATAGCTTCCTTCAACAATAGCTAATTATTACAGATTTTCCTGTGCTGTGGACAAATAGCTTTAGAGATAGTCCTCGGCTTATGACCACAACTGAGCCCCAAAATTTCTGTTGCTCAGCATTTGTGAAGTGAGCTTTGCCCCATTTTATGACCTTTCTTGCCATAGTTGTTAGGTGAATCATTGCAATTGTTAAAATAATAATAACACGGTGGTTAAATCTGGCTTTGCTTGTCAGAAGGTCGCAAAAAAGGGATCCCATGACCCAGGGACTCTGCGACCGCCATAAATACATGTCAGTTGCCAAGTGTCCGCGTTTTGATCACATGAACCTGGGACAACCGTCGTAAGTACATGCCAGTTTCCATCACGTGATCACAGGGATACTGCAACAGCGTTAAGTGTGGAAACAGTCCTAGGTCACTTTCCCCCCCCCCCAGTTCTGTTGTACCTTCGAACGGTCACTAAACAAATGTTTATATGTTGAGGACGAGCTGTATGTTCCAGCGTGCCCATTCAGAATTTAAGTTGCACAGTTTGACCCCTGAGCAAGAAGAGAAAAGATGCTCCCTTGGCTAGTGATGTTCTACCCCCCACTTCCTCTCCCTGACCCCCCCCTCTCTCCGCCCCATAGCTAAGCAATGCTAACTTCGTACTGTCTTCCTGAAGGTCATCTGAAGGTTTTTGGAGTGCGTGGTGGTGGTGGTGGTGGGGTGGCGGCTCCTATGAAACTGAAACTCCTTTCAGCCAACCCTCAGGAAATATGAAAACAGCGAAAACTTCAAAATAGAAAGAATACGCTAACTAGGTCTGCTGAATCACCCACAGGTTATTGCTTTTTTGCCCTGGCATTCGAGAAAATCAGAATGTTTTGTTTTTCTGACCTTTTCAGGTCTACAGGAATACAGCAGTTCACGCCTGCGGGAAAATATAAGCCAGACGGGATCTTAGAAATGGTACATTTTTATTTAGATTTCTTCCTCCCTCCCTCCCTCCCTCCCTGCCTTCCCCCCCTTCTCCTTTCTCTCTCTTTCTTTTTTATGTTCCTTTTCATCTTCTTCCTTCCTTCCTTCCTTCCTTCCTTCCTTCCTTCCTCCTTCCTCCTTCCTCCTTCCTTCCTTCTTCCCTTTCTTTCTCTCTCCTTCCTCCCTTCCTCCCTCCCTTTCTTTCTTTCTCCTTCCTCCCTCCCTCCCTCCCTCCCTTTCTTTCTCTCTCCTTCCTTTCTTCCTCCCTCTCTCCTTCTCTCCCTCCCTCCCTCCCTCCCTCCCTCCCTGATAGAGCTATAATGATTGTATTTTTATACTATATCCAAATTTGAACAAATGTTTTCCAAGCTATGGGATGTCACTGAGGCTACTTCAAATTTTAATTATTTATCAAAGGAAGACGTTATTCTGCCCCTCCCCCCACTGAGAGAGTGAGAGAAAGGGAGAGAGAGAGAAAGAGAGAGAGGGAGGGAGAGAGAGAGAGAGAGAGAGAGAGAGAGAGAGAGAGAGAGAGAGAGAGAGTAGGGGAAAGAGAGAGGGAGAGAGAGGGAGAAACAGGAGAGAGACAAAAAGAGAAGGAAAGAAAGAGAGAGGAGAGAGAGAAAGAGAGAGAAGGAGAGAGGAGATGGAGAGAAACAGAGAGAAAGAGATAAAGAGGAGAGGAAAGAGGGAGGGGGAGAGAGAGAGAGAGAGAGAGAGAGAGAGAGAGAGAGAGAGAGAGAGAGAGAGAGAGAGAGAGAGAGAGAGAAGCTAAATGGAAAAGATATATTCAGCGTCTGGAAGTTGGTGAGAAACCAGATAAACATAAATAAATCTTTAGGCTTATCCTCTTAGTAACTTAAACCCTCTTGGTACTGGCGGTTTGGAGTTGGTACGTGTGAGACACCCAATTCCACCAGGCAGATGTGAGAAACGCAACCTGTTTCCCTTCATCCCAGCTTTCCAAAAAAGCTGTCAGATGTTCTGAATTTTTGCTTCCCTTTCCTGCTGAACATTATCCAAAGTCCAGGTGGCCCTGACAAACGGGTAGCCCAGATGAGCAGATGCCACCAAAGTTGAGTGGCTGTTTCGTTTATTTTAAAAAGAAAAATATCTGAACGCTGATAGGAGGAAAAAAAAGTCATTGCCCTCCAGGATTCAGAAAACTTACATGCAACTGCAATTCATTGTTTGCCATATTGGGCTACTTTAAGACAGATGGACTTCAGCTCCCATGAATTCCCAAGCCAGCCACATATTTCTCTTCCAGCCCAGCAGAATTCGCACTTCTGCTTCAAAAGAGCGTCATTTGGGGTGATTTTGCCCCTTAGATATCAACGTTTCATTTTCCTCCCTTGTTGCAGCTTCTGTTGCACTTCATCACAAAATACGAAGATCTGCTGAAGTTCCTACAACAGAATATGCACCAGGTATGAGGCCGGCAAGGGAGTGGTCAGTTCTGTGCGGGGCCCTCAAATTATACACCACACGCCTTTGTTGTCGTTTTTTGCTTGCGTGTTTAAAAGCACCTTGTCTAGGAAAGACACACCAGTTCATCAGGAAGGGACGTGTGGCTTAGACCCGGCTCTTAACTGCCTTCCGGTTTACCTTATTTTATTTAGATTTAAAAAATAAAATAAAAAAAATCCTGCCTTTATTAAAGGTAGGATTTAGCATGACGACTGTAACGGAGGCTAGAATTTCCGTCGTAAGTCAGGACGGTCATAAGTCAAGGTGCCCACATGATTAACCTCCCTTGCAACTTGTTTTGGTGGAAGTCGTGAAGCGAATGGAGTGGTTCCAAAGCGAATCTGGAGGGTTTTTTTTGGGGGGGGGGGCGGAAATCAAATGAAAAGGCCAGAAACTGGCAAAAAAATAAAATAAAATAAGTCACTGTAATGTGACTGCAGAACAGTGGTAAAAGTGAGCTTGTTGCCAAGAGTCCAAAATGGCCACGTGGTCTTTCTGTGTTTGTGTCTCCATTGTAACTCCAGAACTGGGTCACAAATCCCCTTTGGGGGAGGGGTTATTGTTGTAACTTCACTAAGAAGTTCATTAAGAGGTGAGTTGTTAAGCAATGATCACCTGTACTTTATAAATAATTCAAGGTGACAAACATACCTCCTTCCTCCTCCTACTTTTTGTACAACAACGATCCTGTGAGGTAGGTTGGGCTGAGAGGGAATGACTGGCTTATGGTCACCCAGCTGGCTTTCATGCCTAAGGTGGGACTAGAACTCACAGTCTGCTGGTGATTGGCCCAAAGTCACCCAGTCGGCTTTCATGCCTAAGGAGGGACTAGAACTCCCTGTCTCCTGGTGATTGGCCAAAGTCACCCAGTCAGTTTTTAATGCCTAAGGTGGGACTAGAACTCACCGTCTCCTGGTGATTGGCCCAAAGTCACCAGCCGGCTTTCATGCCTAAGGTGGGACTAAAACTCACCGTCTCCTGGTGATTAGCTGAAAATCACCCAGTCAGCTTTTATGCCTAAGGTGGAACTAGAACTCACTGTCTCCTGGTGATTGGCCCAAAGCCACCCAGCTGGCTTTCATGCCTAAGGAGGGACTAGAACTCCCTGTCTCCTGGTGATTGGCCCAAAGTCACCCAGTCAGTTTTTATGCCTAAGGGGGGACTAGAATTCACCATCTCCTGATGATTGGCCCAAAGTCACCCAGCTGGCTTTCGTGCTCAAGGCAGGACTAGAATTCACGTTCTCCTGGTTTCTAGGCCACACTGGCTCAGATAGACAGCAGAATGAAACAATTAAGCAATAAATAATAGCCAAGAATGCCAGTGTTTTAGAAGGTAATAAATAAACAGTTTAATACTGTACAGTATTCATGCACCGCCTTTCCCTCAGCAGTTACAGACAACATACTGGTGTTTCCTCCTCCTATTTTTCCTCAGAACAATAACCCTGTGAGGTAGTTTGGTTTAGATTAGAAGAATGGCTGGTAATCTAGCACCATTGCCATGAATTGAAAGTGGCTTTTCGTAAAAAAAATGGCAGGACCATCCAATGATGCATGAGCGTACACACACACACACACACACACAAACACAAAAACAAACACATTTATTTTATTTGTTAAATTTATTTGCTGCCCATCTCACTGGGATTATTCTGAGTAGGCATACACAGTAATACATATAAGTATGGATATCTTAAGAGCGTTTCAATACAATAAACGATATAAAAAAAGTAAAAGAAAAACTAAGACAAATAAAGAAGTCAAGGAAAGTGAAAAGAAGTGGAGAAAGAAGAAAAACACAAAACTACGACTTCCTCCCTTCTTTCTGCCAAATAACAGAATAACAGAATAATTGACGTCTATTTTTTTTTCCATTTCCCCCAGAACTTTTTTTTAAAAAAAATTTCCCAAACCCATAAATCACCAAACGAGTCCTTTTCTTCATCAAAAAGTCCATCTAAGGTTTCTCGCCTTTGAAAAAAGGGAAAAAAAAAGAAATGTCTTTTTTTCTTCTCCCTAAGAAATTGTTTCGAGTGGTACTTAAGAACGATGTTTGTGGAACAGGCTGAATTATGTTTTAATGGCTTTACCCGATCTGAACTACATTTGCCCATCTTATTTTGGTCTGAAAATTAAGGAAGGGCAGGCTAATTAGGGCCTAAGGGAAGGGGTAGATTTCCCCATTGGCTCCCGATGTAGGCCAGAAAGAGGCAGGGTTGTGCTTGTGCTGTTGCAATTGCCACCTTTGTGAACCAACTGGCTTATTTGCTTTTAAAAAGTGGATTATAAAGGTAGGTGGGCTCCGGCTTTAGCACAGAAAACACACACAAGGGGCAATGCAAAGATACAAGCAGTCCCCAAAATACAACTGAGCCCAAAATTTCTGTTGCTAAGCAAGACAGTTGTTAAGTGAGTTTTGCCCCACTTTACGGCCTTTCTTGCTACAGTCGTTAAGTGAATCACTGCAATTGCTAAATTAGTAACAGGGTTGTTAAGTGAGTCTGCCTTCCCCCCACTGAGTTTGCTTGCCGGAAGGTCACAAAAGGGACCCAAAAGCCGTCATAGGGGGTCTGAATTTTGATCCGGTGAGCATGGGGAAGCAGCAACAGTCGCAAGTGTGAAAAAGGGTGGTGTCACAGAAAAAAGTGGTGTAAGTCAAGGATAACCTGTAAAAGCATTCTTGTCCAAAGGGTTTTTAAAAGCTTTCCAAAGTTATAGAGATTTGTTCCTAATTGCTAGTGGAAACAAAGTGGTGTGCTGAAAACCACAGTGACGTCACCACTACTGTGACACCGTCACACAAATATTCCATTTCAGCAACAGGGTTGAGCCAGCTTCTAGTCTGTCCATAAATATGGGCAGGCCATCTGGGTAATTTTGAACCGTCATCTCTCTCTGTTTTGCTTGCTCTGCTGGTTGTTGGCATTAAAATAGGAAGAGGGAGGTCTCTCAAGGAGTTCCTGAATGAAAAGCAGGACAAATAATAACAATAACAATAACAATAATAATAATAATAGAAAATGATAAAATTAAACTACTCTGGGACTTCAGAATTCAAACAGACAAGCACCTGCAACATAACACCCCGGACATGACAATTGTCGATAAGAAAGACAAAAAAGTCTGGATAGTGGACGTGGCAGTGCCTGGAGACAGCAGAATAGACGAGAAAGAACCGGAGAAGATAACAAAATACAAAGACCTACAAATAGAAATAGAAAGACTGTGGCAAAGGCAAGCAAGGGTAGTACCAATAGTAATAGGTGCCTTGGGTGCAATCCCAAAACAACTGGAGCACCACTTGGACACCATCATCGGCATTGACAAATTCGCCATTAGTCAATTGCAAAAGGCGGCCTTACTAGGAACTGCTTCCATCCTGCGATGATATCTGTAATACCATCAAGCATCCACATCTGTCTATCCCAGGTCCTGGGTAAGGACTCGATAGGTAGACAAAATGCCAAATCCAGTCTGAACATCTGGCTGACTGTGCGATGATCCATACTACTACTACTACTACTACTACTACTACTACTACTACTACTACTACTAATAATAATAATAATAATAATAATAATAATAATAATAAAGTTGGAAGGGGCCTTGGAGGTCATCTAGTCCAACCCCCTGTCCAGGCAGGAGACCCTATACCATTTCAGACAAATGGCTGTCCAGTCTCTTCTTAAAAACTTCCAGTGTTGGAGCATTCACTGCTTCTGCAGGCAGGTTGTTCCACTGGTTAATTGTTCTCACTGTCAGGAAGTTTCTCCTAAGTTCTAACCCATGCAGGTAGTCCTCGAATTACGACCACAATTGAGCCCAAAATTTACATTGCTAAGTGAAACATTCCAGAAACTAAGAAGAACCATTGCGCGCATTTTTTGTTCAACCACAAATGTTTTGCCTGGGGAGGCCCCTATTTTGGTCATCACTCCATATTTTTCATGTTCCATCTTCCCCTTGATCTGTCTTTCAGTTTGAGGCTGGTCCACATGGCTGCATTCTTCTGACTTTGTCAGTGATATTGTCAAGATCCATCAATCGGTGAGTTTGTTTGCATTTCATTCTAAGAGATCTAATTAGCGCTTAAGCCCCTGGTACATATTTGAAAGATGGACATGAGCCGAATCTTCAAAGAATGTTTGAAGATAGATAGAATTCTTTAGGTTTCTCAGAAAATGTCCGTGCTGGTTTCTTGCCCTTAGCACGTACACATTCATAACTACCACCGCTGAATTTTGCTAGATCAGACATGTCAAACACAAGGTTCGGGGGCTGGATGCGGCCCGCAAAGTGGTTTCATGTGGCCCCTGAAGCCATCCTGGAAACAGTGAGGGAACGGCCCCCACTGCCTTGGCCCTGGCCCAGGCCGGCCGGGAGCCAATGTACAATTTTGTGGTGGCCATCTATGCTGAAACGCATCCAGTCTTAGCTCCACAAGGCCGTCTAGAAACAGCGAGGAACCAGCCCCTGCCGCGTCGGCCCCACCCCTTGGGTGCCTGCTGGGGAGGTGTCACCCTTTGTGAGGAATGAAGAAATGGACCATGCCTTGGCGCTTGCCCCGGTCCCACCCCCTTCTGCCAGAGACCCTCAGATCTGTCCCACTCCTGCCCAGGCCCCTACAGGCACCCTTGACGCGAACGATGTAGAGCTGGCCATGCCCACCCAGCAGGCCACACCCACTCCATCCACGCCCACCCAGTAGGCTGCACCCACCCTGGCCGCCCCCCCCGCCCCGCCCGAGGGCAACCGCAATTCTGATGTGGCCCTCAATGAAATTGAGTTTGACACCCCTGTGCTAGATCCTCAGCAACGTTTTCGCTGCTGTGGGGGAATTATATTCTGATTATTCCAGATTATACTCTGGAACCCAGACGACAAGAAGTTTTAACATGTTTTATAAAGCAAGGGCATGACTTGGTGGGCTTTTGCTTGCCAGGAAAGATAATTTTCTCAAACGTTCACAAATCTGTGAAATCTGTTTTTCCCCGTTTTTTCTTAACCTTGTCAACTTTAAGGTGTGTGGACTTCAACTCCCAGAATTCCATAGCCAGGATGGCTGGCTGGGGAATTCTGGGAGTTAAAGTCCACACATTTTAAGCTTGGCAAGGTTGAGAAGCACAGTTTGTCATCCTAATTCCAAGGTTGTCGAGTGCCAAGGGGGTACTTGAAGCCATCATGACATCCTTGTGTGAAGAAAATAATGTACATAGCATCATGGGACCTGTTGAGGCCATTCCAGCTTCTTCTGGTGCCTGATTCTGGAGCTACATCAAGGAAAAATCCTTGTAATTGGAAGAACATCCAAACTAAAGATTGAAGGCCATTTCATGGGCTCTTTTAAGAGTAATCTGTCTCCAGATCTGTGTCCCACATTTTATGACCTTTCTTGCCACAGTTGTTAAGTGAATCACTGCAGTTGTTAGTGACACGGTTGTTAAGTGAATCTGGCTTCCCCATTGGCTTTGTTTATCAGAAGGTCACAAAAGGGGATCACGTGACTCTGGGATGCTGCAATCGTCATAAATATGAGTCAGTGGCCAAGCATCTGAATTTTGATCACGTGGGGAATGCTGTAAGTGTGAAAAATGGTCGTAAGTCACTTTTTTCAGTGCTGTAATTTAGAATGGTCACTAAATGAACCATTGTAAGTGCTTTACTGGGATTATGACTAAAAGGACTTAGGGAACCATATGCTCAGTGGAATTTTATATTTTTTTTTTAGTGTAGCAGATTAAAAACCTGAGCCTATTAGCTCAAGAGCTGAAGTCCTTAATAAGAGGAAATAAACACGGGAACTAATTTGGCCCTGTTCTTATCTTCTGTTTATGTTGAGCAATTTTTAATGAATGTCTGCCTTATCTCTCAGGAGAAGGAAACGTAAGCAGGCAAGGGAGAATTCACTGTTCTTCCTTAAAATCTTTAAGTTCCAAAGGTCAGGCTAACCTCACCTTTCCCATCAGTCAGACGGGCAGACGGTGGCTGTTTTGGGTGGGAAAATACAGGGCAGATTGGAAACTGCCTATCCTGGAGAAGGTCCATCGGTGTGATTGCTAAGAAGCAACACCAAATGGATGACACGTGAGTCAAGTCAGTTGTGAGAAGGCTCAAAAATATGTGGAGGAGCCATACCATAGTCCTCAACTTACAACAGTTCATTTAGTGACCATTCAAAGTTACCACGGCACTGAAAAAAGCGACTTCGGGCCGTTTTTCACAGTGACAACCCTATGGCCATGTGACCAAAATTCAGACGCTTGTCAACTGGTTCATACTTGTGACCGTTGCAGCGTCCCCGGGGTCATGGGATGGCCTTTTGCCACCTTCTGACAAACAAAATTAATGGGGAATCCAGACTGACTTAACAACCGGTTTAATAACTTATCAACTGCAGTGATTCACTTATCAACTGTGGCAAGAAAGATCGTAAAATGGGGCAAAACTCACTTAACAAACGGCAGAAACTTTGGGCTCAATTGTGGTCATAAGACGAGGACTATCCGTAATGCCTCGCTCAAGGATTGCTACGTAACTCCTGGGTAGATGTTTTGAAATGATCTTGGAATGGAAACAGCTGCAAAGATCACCCAAAGATGCTTTTTCAAAAGTCAGCTGGACTTTCTTGGTTTTTTCCCTACTTTGGAAACATTTCGCTTCTCATCCCAAAAGCTTCTTCAGTTTTAACCGAAGAATTTTAGAACTGAAGAACTGAGGTTAGAACCGAAGAAGCTTCCTGGAAGAGAATTGAAAGGTTTTCAAAGAACAACCCAAGAAAGTCCAGTTGTCTTTTGGAAAAGCACTTTTGGGATAACCATGACCTGGATCAGGGATAGGCGACCTTGGCTCTTTTATGACTCGTGGACTTCAACTCCCAGAATTCCTGAGCCAGCATGGCTCAGCTTGGAAACCTCTCCCTTTCCCCTCAGCATGGCTGGCTCAGGAATTCTGGGAGTTGAAGTCCACGAGTCATAAAAGAGCCAAGGTGGCCTACCCCTGACCTGGATGATTGAGGATCTCTATAGCCATTTGGCCATTGGTTCAGTGGCTTTTACAATGGTGTTCAATGAAGGGAATTAGAACTTAGAACTCAACGCATCACATGAATAAAATTCTGGCCCTCATGATTGCCATTTGCGATCTTCCCTATTGGATCCCCACAACAAAGTCAATAGAAAAGCCTGCAATGAAGATTGAGGGAGGATTCTAAAAGTTGTGGACTTCAACTCCTAGAATTCTCAACAAGAGAGAGCCATCTTGGCTAAGGAATTCTGGGAGTTGAAGTCCACAGTTCTGAAAGTTGCCCAGTTTGGGAAATATTAACTTAGGTGGACACCTAATAACTATCCCCAAGGTGAGGCCATCACCTTCTAAAACAGGGGTCTTCAAACATGGCCCTTTTATGACCTGTGAACTTCAACTCCCAGAATTCCTCAGCCAGGCATGCTGGCTGAGGAATTCTGGGAGTTATAGTCCACAGCTCATAAAAGGGCCAAGTTTGAAGACCCCTGTTCTAAAATATTCTGTTCACTGTCCCATGGGGAAACACCGCCAGCTGGTTGTACCTTGGTGTAGGATCCTAACCTCACTGGAGCAACCCAAAATATTTCTGCAATAAAAGCCTTGCCACGAACCAAGCGCTCAGCATAACAGGGAAGGTGACAATAATTTCAAGCAGGCAATTGGCTGCCAACAACCTCTGTGAATGAGATTCCCATGTGGGTCGACCTATGTTTTGAATAAAGATATAGATCTCGGTTCAGTATCCTCAAAACTTTTGAAGAACTTAATGCTTTGTTTTAAAAAAAACAATGTGGTTTTGTTTTTTTTTAAAAAAATTAAAAATCCCATCCTTTTTTTTTTTTTTTTTTTTGGGAAAGGGGAAAAAACAATAGTGCTGAGAAAACAGCCTGAAGTCTAGGGAACATTGAAGGTCAAAGAGAGAAAGCTGTTTGCGCCATTAAAACCAATCTATTCTAATCTATGGAAAAAGTGATTCAGCTTAATCAGCCTTTATTACCTTGATTACAAGCTCAGGATGCCAGGTCTCTCAAGAACCTCCTTACCTTTAAGTAAATTGGCCCATCTCTCTCTCTCTCTCTCTCTCTCTCTCTCTCTCTCTCTCTCTCTCTCTCTCTCTCTCTCTCTCTCTCTCTCTTCTTGCAAAGTCCTGTGGTGTGTCCTTCCTTCTTTGACCACTCATCAATTTTGACAAACTTGAACGTGGAGCCCTGTCCAGCAAAATGCAATTTAGTGGTAAGAAAAGCAAGGTCCTACTCATAGCCAAGAAAAACTGGACCTTCTGTGATTTTCCTTGAAGACGTTTCGCTTCTCATCCAGGAAGCTTCTTCAGTTCTGACTGAGTGGTGGAGGATGGAAGTGGAAGCCTCAACGACTCTCAGAAAGAGTACTAAACGACCAGATGGCTGCAAGGAATATAAGCCCTTCCATCCTCTATCATTCAGTCAGAATTGAAGAAGCTCCTTGGATGAGAAGTGAAATGTCTTCAAGGAATAAAGAAGAATGCCCAGCACCTTTGGAATGACCATGACCTGGATAACTGAGAATCTCCATAGATAATTTGTCTTTCCATTTTTGTGCATATATGAGTCTCACTGCAGTCAACATATGTAATGTTCTGACTGATTTTTTTCTAGTTCTTTGTCCAAGAGTCCTAAAAGAAAGAAAAAAAAATCTGGTTTCAGTTTTATTTTTCTTTTATGAATGTTTGGAATTAAAACAAAAATCTGGCCCCGGTGTTTCTTTGCTTTATTGCAAGTCCATCAAAGATGTGAGGCTGCATCTTGCAAATTTTGCAGACAAATACAGAGATCACATGGTAGAAATTTGATGATAAAATAAACAGTACCGAGTCCAATTAAGACTTGATTAAATTCTTCAACAATAAATATCTTAATGCAAACAGAAAACCAGTACAGAAATAAACCACGCATTAGACTACAGTTCCAACTCTCTTTAATACCTTGGTGATTTAAATAAAAAAGTGACTTTTAATGAAGTTCTTTTTTTTTAAAAAAAAAATCTTTTTTCTCTCCCTGGAAATCTGTTCAACTTCATCAAACAAAGTTCTTCCCAGCTAACCCTCAAAATTTTTATAAACTTTATACATACATACATACATACATACATACATACATACATACATACATACATGTAGGTCTTTGGTTATTCGGGTTTTCTCCTGCGTAAAATTGGAAGTGTCTTGGCGACGAATGGGACTTCGTCGAAACGTCGCCAAGACACTTCCAATTTTACGCGGGAGAAAACCCGAATAACCAAAGACCTACATACAAACACCCGCGAAAACCTCAGAAATATATAAACTTCATTACAGATGCTTCCGTGGTTATATAAAGTCACAAAATAACAGTAAAAATATTGAACTTAAAAAAAGCTGCCTAATAAAATAACAGAAGGAAGTAGAAAGCCAGCCGGATGAACATTTGATTGCAGTCCACCAAATAATCACACAGTAAAATTTAGAAAATTAAACTAAGCCAGCAATGAAAAGAGAGTTATTGTGGATATTAAGATAGAAGTTTGAAAGGTTAAGAATCCGGAGATGGATGCTCAGACTGTTTTATAAGAAGCAGGTGGGTGAAAGTATATGACTAATACATTTTAGAATATATACAGATGCCCGAATGTGAATTTGAGGTCCTCCCCTCCCCCATCCCGTCTTATCCACAATGGCTTTCTATTCTAAAAAAATCTTTTTTAATCATTTGAGATTTTTCTTTCTTTCTTTCCCAGGTCAGATTTAACTTCTGTTTCTGACTCACATTGCGTTCTACTAACATTCAGGGGAAAGTTCTATGAACTTTTTTTTTTCTTTTGTTCTTTCTTTTTCTCTCTGAGTCAGTCTAGATAAGGTCTTGCAATTTTCTTGGCAATAGTTTTGAAAGTGGTTTGCTTTCTTTCAGAAGTTGTGGATGCTTCATCACTGCGTTTTTTTTAAAGAAGAGACAATAATAATAGTAATAGTAATAATGATGATGATGATGATGATAAAGTTGGAAGGGACCTTGGAGGTCATCTAGTCCAACCTCCTGCTCAGGCAGGAAACCCTATACCATTTCGGATAAATGGCTGTCCAGTCTCTTCTTAAAAACTTCCAGTGTTGGAGCATTCACCACTTCTGGAGGCAGGTTGTTCCACTGGTTAATTGTTCTAACTGTCAGGAAGTTTCTCCTTAGTTCTAGGTTGCTTCTCTCCTTGGTTAGTTTCCACCCGTTGCTTCTTGTCCTGCCTTCAGGCGCTTTGGAGAATAGCTTGACTCCCTCTTCTTTGGGGCAGCCCCTGAGATATTGGAAGACTGCTATCATGTCCCCCCTCGTCCTTCTCTTCATTAAACCAGACATATCCAATTCCAGCAACCGTTCCTTATATGTTTTAGCCTCCAGTCCCCTGATCATCTTTGTTGCTCTTCTCTGTACTCTTTCTAGAGTCTCAACATCTTTTTTACATCGTGGTGACCAAAACTGGATGCAGTATTCCAAGTGTGGCCTTACCAAGCCATTTATCCGAAAGGGCACAGGGTGTCCTGTTTGAGCAGGGGGTTGGACTAGATGACCTCCAAGGTCCTTTCCAACTCTATTCTGATTGATTGATTGATTGATTGATTGATTGATTGGATGGTTACACATAGCTTCTGCAAGTTTCTGTAGCTCGTGTGTTCCTCAATTTTCTCTTACGTCGCTCCAGATGTCTTGGAACAACAATTCCCATTGGCCCTGCTGTTCAAAAACCCTTGAGGTCCTCCTCCTTCCAATGCACTGAGGAGTTGGTTGACCTTCTTTGGGAAGAGGCTTCCTAAACCTCAAGAAAATACCATTTAGTTGCAGGTTAGGAAAAATGATGGGAAACACAGATGTTGCTTCTCCTCCAATATCTTACCCTCAACTTGGCGTTCCCGGAACATTTGCAACCATGGATGGAATTAGAACTTCCTTCTATTGTCCACACATGATGTCCCACAGGTCCCGACTGACGCATATTTCATCAGTGAGTTGGCTTCAAGCAATTGCCATGGGAATTTCACAGTGCCGGTCATTCAGTGAAAAAAATGGCCAATAAATCTCATCAACTTTCCACTTTCTTCTTCTTTCGGTAATGTTTGGGACTTGACATTCCTTGAAAGAGTCCCTAATATAAATCAACTCTTAGAATTGTTCTTTGATGATGGTAGTTTATTAATACAAACCCTTTTTTTAGTGAGAGCAACTCACTTTCCATGGCAGCAGTTAAAAAGCTTTTTTTAGTCCAAATACTTCCTTGATACACCGAGCTTTGCTTTGGCATTCCAGGTAACAATCACAATTATTCTTTGCGTTTATTTTTAGAATCAGTGGGGTTTTTTTATGCAAACAAAAAATTAATATTTGTACTTTAAAATGTGATTTATTTATTTTTTTAGTTCAAATTCTAGTTAAACTCCTCCAATTTTAAGGGGAAGCCAGGTATGGCCATTGAAAATGTATCCTGTGGTTTGGATACTTTTTTTTTTCAGTGAGAAGGTTTTAAATATTTAATTTCTTTAAAAAACGGGGTCAATTGTGGCCGTCAGTAAATTATTTACAGTACCTGTATAGGTAAGTATTGCTCCCTCTATATTTTCCTGGCATTTTACTCCACGAGATATTTTGAAGGACCCGTTCAAGAGGTTGTGTTTTCACTGTGTGTTCAAATGTCTCTCCACCTTCCTAGGGAGATAACCAGATTTCCAGTGGAGGAAAATGAAACGCAAGCCAGTTTCTTAAATCTAGTTTTGATGAGATCCTTCTTTTTCTCCCCAACAGAGTTCGTGGAGATATGGATGTCATCACAAACCCACTAATCGGTGCACACGGATACTGCACACAGGTAAATAGCAGAGCAGGGCCCGTGAGTTAGAGGTGCAACTAAAAGGAACAATCCATGGGGAATTGTTAGTTGCCAAGGGGTCAAATCAAGGTAAGCAGTAACATGGTTCTACACTAGAGTAAGTAGCTGTTTGATGTCACTTTGAAGGCTCATCAACTTGCTGATGTCCTCCAGGGACCCATAATGCAGCCTCTCTCGGTGGTGGCCCACTTCTGGGCAAGACCTGGCTCAAAAACAGTAACTGTGAGAGGGACCTTGGAGTCCTAGTGGACGATCAATTGACCATGAGCCAGCAGTGTGCAGCAGCAGCCAAAAAAGCAAATACAATCCTGGGTTGTATAAACAGAGGCATAGAATCAAGGTCAGGCAAAGTGTTAGTACCGCTTTGTAAAGCCTTAGTAAGACCACACCTGGAGTACTGCAGCCAAGTTTGGTCACCATATCACAAAAAAGTTGTTGAGAGTTTGGAAAAAATTCAGAGAAGAGCAACTAAGATGATCCAAGGCCTGGAGACTAAAACATACGAAGAACGGCTGCAGGACTTGGGTTTGGCTAGTCTACAGAAAAGAAGAAACAGGGGAGACATGATAGCAGCGTTCTAGTATCTGATGGGCTGCCACAAGGAAGAGGGGGTCACGTTATTCTCCAAAGCACCAGAGGGAAGGACGAGAAACAATGGTTGGAAACTGAACAAAGAGAGAAGCAACCTGGAATTAAGGAGAAACTTCCTAACAGTGAGGACAATTAACCAGTGGAACAGCTTGCCTCCAGAAATCATGGGCGCTCCATCACTGGAGGTTTTTAAGAAAAAGCTAGACAGTCACTTGTCTGATATGGTATAGATTTTCTGCTTAAGCGGGGGCTGGACTAGAAGACCTCCAAGATCCCTTCCATCTCTATTCTATTCTATCTCTGCACATTAAGTGTGCAGAAAGATTCAAATATGGTTTGTTTGTGACACCTTTCAAGGATATTCTTTTCTGAAGCAGAATTTTAGAAATACTCAACTTTAAATATATTCTTCAAACATTCCCTGTTCATCCACCATGGGGCAAAAGCTACTTAACAACTGTCTCACTTAGCAACCGAAATATGGGGCTCAGATGTGAGCATCAGTCAAGGACTACCTGTATTATCATGTATACTGGTAGTCCTACGACCACATTTGAGCCCAACATTTTTGTCGTTAAGTGAGACATTTGTTAAGTGAATTTTGCTCCATTTTTGCTCCATAAGTGGTTCCCTGCAGTTGTTAAGTGAGTCACACGATTAAGTGATTCTGGCTTCATCCTTGACTTTGTTTGTCAGAAGGTTGCAGAAGGGGATCACCTGAACCCGGGACACTGCAACCGTCATAGATATGAGTCAGTTGCTGAGCATCTGAGTGTTGAACACGTGATTGTGGGGATGCTGCAATGGTTGTAAGCGTGAAAAACGGTCAGAAGTCAGTTTTTAACTTGAATGATCATTAAACAGACTGTTGTAAGTCAAGGACAACCTATAATTAAGCTTCCATATACCAAAAAAGTAGAAGAATTTTGATCCTCTTCCTTAAATGGTGGGTTTCTGCCTGAGCAGGGGGTTGGACTCGATGACCTCCAAGGTCCCTTCCAACTTTATTATTATTATTATTATTATTATTATTATTATTATTATTATTATTATTATTATTATTATTATTATTATTATTATTATTATTATTATTATTATTATTATTATTATTATTATTATCATTATTATTATTATCATCATTATTATTATTATCATTATTATTATCATTATTATTATTAAATTCATTTCAGGCAAAGGCTGACTTGGAGCCAAGTGATTGTATCAGATCTTTGAGTCTGTCTGACCAGTGCTTAATCCATCCACCATTTTGTTCTCCTGAAACTAGGAACTGGTCAACCTGCTACTGACCGGCAAGGCCGTATCCAACGTCTTCAACGATATGATGGAGCTGGACTCAGGAAACGGCAACATCACCGTCCTGAAAGGGGTCACTGGCCGTAGTGACCTGGGCTTGCTGTCCCTCTTCGAGCATTACGACGTCTGTCAGGTATGGAGAAGACTTGTGAAAAAGCTGGGGTTGACGTCCCTTTGTCTGAAATCACGTGAAGTATTAATATCACTTTACAATGCCTTGGTAAGGCCACACTTGGAATACTGCATCCAGTTTTGGTCACCACGATGTAAAAAAGATGCTGAGACTCTGGAAAGAGTACAGAGAAGAGCAACAAAGATGATCAGGGGACTGGAGGCTAAAACATATAAGGAACGGCTGCTAGAATTGGGTATGTCTAGGTCAGGGGTAGGCCACCTTGGCTCTTTTATGACTCGTGGACTTCAACTCCCAGAATTCCTGAGCCAGCCATGCTGAGGGGAAAGGGAGAGGTTTCCAAGCTGAGCCATGCTGGCTCAGGAATTCTGGGAGTTGAAGTCCACAAGTCCACAAGTCATAAAAGAGCCAAGGTTGCCTACTCCTGGTCTAGACTAACAAAGAGAAGGACTACAGAGACATGCTAGCAATCTTTCAGTATTTGAGGGGCTGCCCCAAAGAAGAGGAAGTCAAGCTATTTTCCAAGGTGCCTGAAGGCAGGACAAGAAGCAACAGATGGAAACCAATCAAGGAGAGAAGCAACCTAGAACTAAGGAGAAATTTCCTGACAGTGAGAACAATTAATCAGTGGAACAACCTGCCTCCAGAAGTTGTGAGTGCTCCATCCCTGGAGATTTTTATGAAGAGATTGGATAGTCACTTGTCTGCAATGATAGGGTCTCCTGCAAGCAAAGGGTTGGACTAGAAGACCTCCAAGGTCCCTCCCAGCTCTGTTATTCTTTTTATTTGAAGCTAATCAATCCATCAAGTAACTCAAAAGGAGGATTTCATTTGAGTTGAGCTAACTAGACTTCTGTTGCCGCTGAAGTCAACACAAACATTTGGCCTCTCTGTGTGTCCTTTGCTTTGTTCTATACGCCAGTTTTCTCCTTAATTCTATTTCAAACAACTTCCTTTTTCTAATACAGGTAATCCTCGATTTAACAACCATAACTGAGCCCAAAATTTCTGTTGCTAAGCAAGACATTTGTTAATGAGTTTTGCCTCATTTTCCTGCCATGCTTGCTAAGTGGATCGCTGCAGTTGTTAAGTTGGAAACAGGGTTGTTAAGCGAATCTGGCTTCCCCATTGAGTTTGCTTGCCAGAAGGTCACAGAAGGGGATCACGTGACCTCAGGACACTGCAACCATCGTAAATATGAGCCAGATGCTTAGGACTTGAAATTTGATCACATGACCAGAGGAATGCTGCAACGGTCGTTAAGTGTGAAAAATGATCATAAGTCACTTTTTTCAGTGCTATTGTAGCTTCGGACAATCATTAAACGAATTGTTGTAAGTTGAGGATCTGTGGACTTCAGTTCCTAGAATTTTCCTGCTTTGCTGACTGGGGAATTCTGGGAAATGAAGTCCACACACCTTCAAGTTGTCAAAGTTGAGAAACATTGATTCTGAAGATTTGCGTCTTTGGGGAATTGGATACCGTCCAATGTGTTCCTCTTGCTAACTGAGAACTTTGTAATCAATTTGTTGTTGTTAGTTGCGAAGTCGTGTCTGACCCATCGTGACCCCCTGGACAACGTTCCTCCAGGCCTTCCTGTCCTCTACCATCTTCTGAAGTCCATTTAAGGTCACGCCTGCTGCTTCAGGGACTCCATCCAGCCACCTCCTTCTCTGTCGTCCCCTTCTTCTCTTGCCCTCCATCTTTCCCAGCATCAGGCTCTTCTCCAGTGAGTCCTTCCTTCTCATTAGGTGGCCAAAGTACTTGAGTGTCAACTTCAGGATCTGGCCTTCTAAAGAGCAGTCGGGGTTGATCTCCTCTAGGACTGACCGGTTTGAACGCCTTGCAGTCCAAGGGACTCGCAGGACCCTTCTCCAGCACCATAGTTCAAAGGCCTCCATTCTTTTGCGCTCAGCCTTTCTTATGGTCCAACTTTCACAGCCATCCATTGCAACTGGGAAAACCATGGCCTTGACTATACGCCCTTTTGTTGGCAAGGTGATGTCTCTGCTTTTCAGTATGCTGTCTAGATTTGCCATAGCTTTCCTCCCCAGGAGCAAGCGTCTTTTAATTTCTTGGCTGCAGTCCCCATCTGCGGTGATCTTGGAGCCCAGGAAAATGAAATCTGTCACTACCTCCATTTCTTCCCCATCTATTTGCCAGGAATTGAGAGGGCCGGATGCCATGATCTTGGCTTTCTTAATGTTGAGTTTCAAGCCAACTTTTGCACTCTCCTTCTTCACCCGCATCAAGAGGTGAATTGTGATTGTAATTGTAATTTAATTGTAATCAATTAAAAGATGGTTTAACTGAAAACATGCCAGCATTCAATATAGGGATTAGTTCGAAATGCACCTCTGTACACAGAAGGGATATCAAAAAAGTAAAAATTAAGGGGTTTGCCCGTATTTTGATGGGTTTTGAAGTGAGGGAGGACAACTTTATTTACTGGAAGAGCATGAAAAAAAAATCTCAGAAATAACCTTTTTCAGCTGCTTCTGTTGACGTTGGCACAGCCAGAAGCAAAAGTGGAATCCAATCCCTTGCAGTTACCCACCCAGAAATGCAGACATTCCTCGTGTCCAGCGGTCAAAGAGATTAAATCCCCAGAGAAATACTGTGTAGCTTCTCTAGAAAGTGAAAATTCCTGAGGTTGAAGAGGTGAATAATTTTTTCTCCAGTTTGTGTGCTTCTCGCCATTACTTTGTGCAACAACACTAGGCAGCACCCATAAAGCTCCTCTTTTACTTTGCTTTTTACTCTTTGCTTTATATTTTTCATTACTTTACTCTTTACTCTTTAGTTTTTACTTCTTACTTTATACTTTCCTTTTTACTTTACTCTTTATTTTACTCTTTACTCTTTCTTCTACTTTTTACTTTACTCTTTACTTCTTACTTTAATTTATACTTTGCTTTTTTACTTTTTACTTACTCTACTTTACTTTATTTTACTCTATTTGTTTTACGACTTTTTATTCTTTACTCTACTCTTTATTTTACTCTTTATTCTTTACTTTTACTTTACTCTTTACACTTTACTTTTTACTCTTTAAACTTTTTACTCGTTACTTCTTACTTTATACTTTGCTTTTTTACTTTACTTTACTCCTTACTTTTTACTTTACTCTTTATTTTACTCTTTACTCTTTACTTTACTTTTTACTTTACTCTTTACTTCTTACTTTAATTTATACTTTGCTTTTTTACTTTTTACTTACTCTACTTTACTCTTTATTTTACTCTATTTGCTTTACGACTCTTTATTCTTTACTCTTTATTTTACTCTTTATTCTTTACTTTTACTTTACTCTTTACTCTTTACTTTTTACTCTTTAAACTTTTTACTCTTTACTTCTTACTTTATACTTTGCTTTTTTACTTTACTTTACTCCTTACTTTTTACTTTACTCTTTATTTTACTCTTTACTCTTTATACTTTTTACTTTACTCTTTACTTCTTACTTTAATTTATACTTTGCTTTTTATTTTACTTTACTCTTTACTTTTTACCTTACCCTTTATTTTACTCTTTACTCTTTACTTTACTCTACTTTTTACTTTACTCCTTACTTCTTACTTTATACTTTGCTTTTTTACTTTACTTTACTCCTTACTTTTTATTTTACTCTTTATTTTATTTTACTCTTTGCTTTACTCTTTACTTCTTTAATTTATACTTTAGTTTTTACTTTACTTTAGTTTATACTTTAATGTACCTTTTGTCACACCATGATCTGATCTCCATCCATATCCTATTTTTCTTCTTCTTCGCACCTGACACACCTTTTATTCTTTGGCTTCTCTCTCCTAAAATTGTAACCTTTGGGGATCAAAATTAATGCCTGTTTTAGGGCATTTTCTCTAAAACTCCCCCCCCCCCAACAAGCTGACTGGTGAATACTAAGAATTGAAGTCCACACATCTTAAAGTTGCTGAAGTTGAGAAACACCCGTGTAAACCAATACCGTTGCGACACACACCCTTTATTCTTGCAATGATTAATTTCACGGAAAAGAATACTGTATTAGGCTGTTGGCATCATCTCTTACTCCTCTGGCAAAAGCAGATAATAGGATCTCTTCCTTTGTTTACTGAAGGAAACCCTTTTCAAGTTTTGTTGGGTTTTGTGTTTTTTTGCCCTGGCTCCATTACAACCATCACAACTGTTGCTATTTATATAAAATGATCTACAAAGATAGAAATCAGATCAGCATTACTGTTTTGTTTTTGATGGGGATTTCTGCACCGGTCCTGACTTCTGGATCATTCTGTCTGGGGGGTCTTGGGCCAAAAGTTTGCTCTTGTACAGTGACTTACGCTGTAGTCCTCGACTTACAACAGTGACCGATCGAAGTTACAACATCACTGAGAAAAGTGACTTATGACCGTTTTTCACACTTAACGACCGTTGCAGAATCCCCCCCTGGTCATGTGATCGAAATTCAGACGCTTGGCAACTGACTCGTATTTATGACAGTTGTTGTCTCCCAGGGTCCTGTGATCCCCTTTTGTGACCTTCTGACAAGCAAAGCCAATGGGGAAGACAGATTCACTTAACAACCATGTTACTAACTTAATAACTGTAGTGATTCACTTAACAACTGTGGCAAGAAAGGTGACCAGATAGACTGACCTTCTCAAGATGATCTGTTTCCAACCTGGTCCTTCAGGTCTTCCAATGGTTGCCCCATTGTTGGCACTTAGTGACCAGATAGATTGACCTTCTCTAGATGATCTGTCTCCAACCTGGTCCTTCAAGTCTTCCAATGGTGCCCCCATCTCCACTGTAACTTAGTCCATCCACCTTCTGCTGGTCTTCCTCATCTCTTTCCTTCCTTATTTTCCTCCATAATGGACTTTACGAGAGAGATGGGTGATTGACTGATTGATTGATTGCATGCTTTAATATTGACTTTTTTTTTTTTATTGAAAATTTTAAAAGTTTTACAATATATCTCCCCCCC